ATAAATTTATTCGGTTGGGTTGCAAGCGCTTTCGACCTAAAAGGTCATCATCAGGCAAAAATTTTTGAAAGTGAGTAGGTAGGTAGGTACAATCACTATGTGTCCACAGAAAAAATTAAATGTTGAATTAAAATTTTTAATTGTAAAAATAAAAATTATACAAATTGGCACGTACTGCCTCCCTCATTCGAGGTTGGATATTGTTTAATCTTGAACCTCGCCTGCCTCCATCTAATGAAGGTGGTTATAAAAGATAATCTCAAATTTGAAGTTCCACATGTGTGCTTAAGGCACCATGTGAAAAATGTAACTTTTCGAAAATTACCGTTGCTCCCCCTATCCCCAGTACAAATGGGGTAGACGGAGTTTGGTTTGTGTACACCCTTAAGCCTAGGCTTAAGGGGTATCATTAATTAATAACTTTGCTTAACTTCGGGAATTTTACTTAGCACCTTCGTCATTCAAGGGTGAAGTTGAATGAGAAAAAGGGTGAACACAAACCAAACTCCGTCTACCCCATTTGTACTGGGGATAGGGGGAGCAACGGTAATTTTTGAAAAGTTACATTTTTCACATGGTGCCTTAAGCACATATGTGGAACTTCAAATTTGAGATTATCTTTTATAACCACCTTCATTAGATGGAGGCAGGCGAGGTTCAAGATTAAACAATATCCAACCTCGAATGAGGGAGGCAGTACGTGCCAATTTGTATAATTTTTATTTTTACAATTTAAAATTTTAATTCAACATTTAATTTTTTCTGTGGACACATAGTGATTGTACCTACCTACCTACTCACTTTCAAAAAAAAAATTTTTGCCTGATGATGACCTTTTAGGTCGAAAGCGCTTGCAACCCAACCGAATAAATTTATGTGGTCGACAGACTTTGAGCCTTTTACTTCCCTTTAATCTACTTCGGACCACTTTGAGATATGGATAATATTTGGAATTTAAAAATATTAATATTTTGTGCATGCAATTCATTAATATGCTTGTTTATATTTACATTTTCGACAATATTGCCACCATTACACGCGATTTTGGAAAATAGCTCATCCTTACTAGTCCTACGAATTTCATGCAGCCTTACAAGTAAAGCATCCCCACCTGTTTCGAAGTTTTCAGTTCCAGAATGTAATAAATTTAAACATTGCAATTTTTTGAACCTCCTTTGAAATTGGACCGATGTAGGGTTTACACAGTTACCATCATGGAGGAAGGATAATTAAGAGTTGCAGATTCCTCACAGAAATTTGGCAGTATGTTTACCTTATTCAGCGACACATGGAATAGTTTTGTGAAATTAATACTCAGTCGGTAATATAGAAAGATGTAATGCTATTTTAGTTTGAATATTGGCGGGCCTTTGAATTTACTTCAACAAAATATAAGAATATTACATTTTTAATAGCATTTTTTTAATACGCATCTCAGGCGTATTAAAAAATGCAAATAAAAATGTAAAATTTTATGTTAAATAATTTTAGAAGTGTAAAATCAATAATACAAAATTGTAACAACTAAATATTATTTGTAGAATCTTTATTGGTTACAACAATAAACATAATATACATTTTCTGAATAAACAACTATATTAAATAACATAAAACAAACAAAATTTTTATATAATCGTGCGAAATAAAATAAGAGTTCCAGCCATAAATCCTGAAACGAAAAAAACAATCGTTGAAAGCGAAAAACTGCTTAAGACACATGATTTTGATTGTATGTGACTCATTACTATTTTTTAATTTACTACTTATAACTTCTTTAATGGCTAATTAAGATTTTCTTGCTTTTTGTAATGAAAGTACTTTAGATTTATCAAGATTATAAAGCTTTGTTATTCGCATATCTAGAATAATTATTATCAAAATTATCACAATTATCAAAATGAATATCAGAATTAAATTTTTGTTAAGCATTTCAATATTTGGGAATAATACAATTAGAATTAATATTCATTTTTTTCTGAAAAAAAAGCAATTTCTTACAAAAAATTCTGCTTGTTAAAAAAATTACAAGAAAAAGTTTCCTTTTAAAGTTATGAAGGAAAACCGACAGGAAAACTATGACTTTTCTTCGTAAAATCAATAGGTAATACAGATTTTTGTCAATTTCAAGTTTCTTCATTTATTAAGACCCTGTACACCTGACCTAACATATTAATATAGTAAACCTATTTTTTCGTCAAACAGAATTTTTTTATAATGACTTCTTCCTTAAAATAAAAATAAATATTTTTCCATTTTGTCACCTCCATACAGGAGATGTTTAAAATATAACATTTTACTTTAAATCTTAATAATATACCTACATAAGTAAATATAAATTGACGCTAAACTTTACGTGACGTTAACTAGGCACATACCTACATCTTACTAATAGGTTTATAACTGACAAACTGACCCATAACCTGGGATTTTTTTTTAAAGTATACCATACATACCTACCTAACAGGATCTTTGAGAAACCGAAATAATATTTTAATACAGTTTATTCGTATAGTTTTTTGCTGCACAACTTTTCCCAGACATAGTAAAACACGTAAAAGTTAACAAATTAACACTGGAAAACAACTACTATATAAAAAGTGTCAAAAAATATCTATAATTCTAAAAAAATAACAAAAACCCTCTTCCAGGCAGACTATGCGTTGTACACGGACGGCTCCAAAACTGAAAAAAGAGTAGGAGCGGGAGTTTTCGGTCAGAGGCCTAGAGTTGACATATCAATAAACCTAGGCTCTCTGGCCACGATCTTCCACGCAGCAATGATTGCTATAGAATTGGGAGCGAGAGAGTTGATCAATTTTCTCCCCGCAAACAAGACTATAAAGATCTTTTCAGATAGCCAGGCAGCCCTTAAGGCCCTGAGCTCCAATTGAGTTGACTCAAAGCTGGTTTGGAACTGTATAGATACCCTAGAATGCCTCGGTGCCCGGAACAAAGTTACTTTGATTTGAAACCGAATCTGTGTTCATAGGACCAGAACCATTCCTGGGCGTTGCAAAAAGCACTGCCAAAGGAATTATCTCAAAATGGACGGAGGGCGCAACACTCACGAACTGGAGAGATACCCCAGGGCTAACCCATTCGAAGGCGTTTATAACCAACCCTTCTATGAACGCCTCTGATCAGATTCGAGAATGGAGCATTTTCACTGGACTGATGACAGGACACTGCCGTCTGGGCAACCACATGAGAAGGATAGGTCTGCAACAAACATCGGACTGTCGATTCTGCAGCGTGAAGGACGAGTCTGCAGAACACATTTTATGTACCTGCTCCGCTCTGGAAAGAACCAGGTTCCAGATCTTCAGATTTACCCGACTGGAACCTACCTACTTTAAAGAAGTCTCACCCAATTCAACCATGACCTCTATCAAAAGGTGTGGCTTGTACGGTGAACTATAAGTTAGTCATAAGCCACAATAGACCCATCTGGGTCACAGTGGAAGGCGATGAGATCATCCCACTCATTTTCAACCTAACCCAACCTAGCACGATTTATTTATGATGAGGGCAATAACACTTTATCAATATATAGCTAGTAGCTAAGGGCCGATTCCACCGTTGTGTTAAACGAAGTTTAAAATGACTAAACGAAGATTAAAATGGTATTGTTAATGTAAAAATGTAATTTTAATATCCGTTTAGAAATTTAAGCTTCGTTTTCTGTTGATATAAAAATGTCATTTTAATCTTCGTTTAGTATTTTAAACTTCGTTTAACACAACGGTGGAATCGGCTGTAAGTAAAAGTTTATAAAATGATTGTAACAAAATAGCCATTTATGTATTAAGAGCAGAAAGTAACACTTTAGCTGTTGAGGCAAAAAGTTATCGAAACAGCCAAAGTACTTTCTGCTCGAATTACACACAAAAATTTTTCTACTATCACACCAAAATAAAATAAATAATTAAATTTTATTAGAAATGGGTTATCTTTTCTTTCGTTTTAATATTTTAGGTTTATTTGACATAAGCCTACTCTTCGAAGAGAAAAAAATGTTTTAGTACTTATATTCCGGTAATTATTTATGATTTAATTATTTACGGTAAATTTTTTATCTGTCGTTTGAAACATGCAATTTTTTTTCCATTTATTCATAGTGTATGTATGTTTACAAAAAAAATGGAATTAAAATGAAAACCTCTTTTAAGTATACAGATACAACTCCCGCATTTTTAATATTTATTCTAATTATTGTTTATATAACTGTATACCTTCAATTCTTATACAAATATACTTATAGTGACTTTGTAGTTAATTTATTACAGTAACTTTTTTGTCCGGTGCCCATATAGACCAAGAGAAGAAAATGTAAATTATTAATGCTTAGGCAGTAAAAGTGTTATTTCTATGATCGAGAACTGTCACTAAAAGTGACCATTAATGTCAATCCGAGAAAAAAATTATTTTTGCTTTACCATGCAAAAGTACGAAATCACTCTGTCTAGATCAACATATTTTCAAAGTAGTACTCGATTAAATTGTACTGAAATGCTCAGTTTTTTCGTACTAGTGAGTACTTTCATCCAGATGAATAAAAACTTTTTTATTTTCACCTTTTGAAAAAAATTTTAGTTTACAAAATAGACCAACAAATTTTTTTGTTTGATTTTCTTTATTACATTTTTACCCAGCTAGCAGAAAGTTAAATTTTGAAAAGTCAGCCATACTGAATTAAGTACCACTCCAATGTGATAGATGGCAGCACATCGCCTTAGAATTTAACAATTGAGTTTCCAATCTATTCACGTTACCCTAATCTATGAGTTAGCCTAATCGACACCCAGTTGAATACTTTCCGTTTTACTCAGAAGTAATAAAAATAAAATTAACACTAGGATTTAGTCCAGATCGAACAATATATTGTTGTTCAAGCGATAAATTTTGAAAAGCTACAAATTAATTATTCACCTCCGAATCCTTCGTTCTTAGAAATAAACTCTAACAGTAATTTTTCTAGGCCACAAACTGGTCTCGTATGAATTCTTAAAATTACTCTCTAAATGTTTATTTTAAATAATTTATACATATAACTTTGATTGCAATTAAATCCTTTATCACTCGGTATACGGGTCTATAATAAAAACAGAAACAGAAAAGAAGTTTATTTTAATATATTACCATAAAAATATATGATTTATATGAAATTAAATTACTAATGGTCTGGATGCATCATTAACGATACCGCACAAATTATTTGCGTTTCTTTGCATTCTGATGTACCCCTTTTCACCAAATTGATCACTCCAAGAATTTTTAACGATCCAATAATCCAATCCGTTTTCAGTACCATAACCTACTACTAATACTCCGTGATTTAGGTTTTCGTCTTGGTTACCGCAACTGGCGTCACTGTAAATTCCTCCAGAATAACTTCCAGCATAAGTGACATCTATTGCAACTGATATTGGACCATTCAATGCTGGAATTGAAATAATAAAAATTAGAAATACGAAGAATAATGTGTATCCATCCATTAAAATAAAAAGTCACAAATGTATTCGCCAAAAATTTGTTACTATGTTACTGCTTTCTAGTTTGTAAAAGAATCCTACTTAACTGTGGGTAAAATAGTGTTTTAGCAAAGAGTATAGTCAGGGGCTGGTAACTCAAACGAAAAAACATGAGGAAGGTAATTTAGTACTACTCTAATTAACGAGATGGCTCTCGTATCGAAATGTCATGTCAGTTGTCATCTCGTCAAAACTTCAAACTTAGAAAAATGTTAGAAAAATTAAAATGGCTGTTGCATTTGAAGGTGTATTGGATTTATTTTTCAACACCTTCCAATTTTAAGTATGTTTTCAAAAGATGGCAAGATGGATTTCAGCAACGAACAATAAAGCACTCCCAGATATTGGTAGTGATGTAATTTATACTACATTAAATATGCGGTCGTCATATTAAGGATAACCAAATAATTTGTAATAAGCGTTTTAAGAAAAATGCATCATGCACTTTTGGCACCAATGGTAAGTAATATTTACAAAAAAAAAATATTGCAATAAAAAGTACTCATTTCTATATAAAATAAGTGCTTAAAAAAATTTGCTGAAAATTCACAAAATTTTGAGAAAAATGAATTAAAAGTTGTAATTTTATAGGTTATTTTGGTTTTATCATACTATATGTAGGTAACAATTTCGAAGTTTTAATGATAGTGTAATTGAAGTAACTTACTTTTGTTACATTTTAACTGAAATTAGATATCTATGGAAAATTATGTTTCATTTGCTAATTTAATTTATATTAAAATTAAATGCATTTTATTGTCTGTTTAACCATTTACTTCCACAAAACATGAAATGAAAAAAATAAATCATCGAATTACCTTTGTTGGCACATGACACATGGGGTAGTTGAGTTTGCAACGTTGCCATATTATCAAAGTTTCTCCAGATTTTATGTGTCTAAGACTTTATAGATAGATGAGAGTTCAGAGCTATTTTGAAGCACTAAAAAGTACTTGTTTTATACAGTAAGTTAAAAATTTATAGAAAATCAAGAATTTTTAAGAAACATTTAATCAAAAAATCTAGTTTTATATTCATAGAACTATAGGACACGAAATAAAAGATATGAAAAGAGATATACGTATCTGTGATTTTTTACTTTTAAATTATCGTGATGTGGCATTTAAATCTTTTAAGTAGTAATTACTAACTTTATGTAAAATGGAATTTAATTACATAATAGAGTTAATAAAAAACTGATGAAGAGTTATTGGAATGGATGAGAAGGAATAAGTTAGTGAAATCGCAATTTAGATGCAAATAACGCCTTTGCCTAACCTAACCACTACCAAAGAGAGTGAGCGAAACGAGCGCGCCAGGCCTACATTTCGAAATTCGCGAGAATTTCGAAACGTAGGCCAGGCATACTCTTTTCCTCCCTTTTTTCACTAATACTATAAGAGCATGCTTACACAGAAGATATCGGGCGAATCGAGCGCGCCCGACCTACGTTTCGAAATTCACGCGAATTTCGAAACACCGACCGGACGTGCTCTTCTTCCCCCTTATTTCACCTACACCATAAGAGCAGGCTTTCGCAGAAGATAGCAAGCGATGCGAGCACGCCCGGCCGACGTTTCAAAATTCGTGCGAATTTCGAAACGTCGGCCGAGCGCGCTCTTTTTTCATAGTCACCATAAGAGCACGCTACGTTCGTCCCACCCACTTCCTAACCACTACAGAAGAGAGCGAGCGAAGTGAGCGCGCCCTGCCTACGTTTCGAAATTCGCGCGAATTTCGAAACGTAGGCCGGACGCGTTTTTTTGCCCATTTTTTCACCGACACCATAAGAACACGCTTACGTAGAAGATAGCAAGCGAAGCGAGCTCACTCGGCCGACGTTTCAAAATTCGCGCGAATTTTGAAACGTCACAATAAGTAAAATAAATCTGGTAACGTCTAATTGTCTCGATAAATTTTTTAATACAAACTATTTTCAACTACATTAAAACGTAACAATTGAAAGATTATAACATTTTTAACACAATGGTTACTTTATCAAGTGTTCAAAATGTGCTCCATTTGTGAGTTGACAGCATAGAAATAATATAGAAGACCAATATAAATATAACATCCAAGCAAAAATTGAAACCTACTGTGCATAAAAACGCGTCTCTGCGCCTGACATCGCAAAATAGTGTGTCTAGAAGCTTGCGCAGTATGCATGACTTGTCCCTGTGGTGTTGCCAAGTATATTAAACATACCTAACACAAAAGAATTTATTTTTAAATTATATGATTTAATCAGTTTATATCTACGAAATATCGCCACAAAATACAATATAAACATTTAAATAATCAACTAATAATATTTATGTGTAATTAGGTTCCCAAAAATATATACAAATACGGTATTAATGTACAACAAGCTATTCACCTACAAATTTAATATTGACCTGGCAACACCACTTTAATCCGGTGTTTCAAGGCTATATGACGCTGCCCTTACAGAACCGTTTGTAATATTTTGGCTTGAATTTGTATTTTATTATTTAATTACACGACATTTTATATTTAGTTTCGCGTAGTGTTAAGTTAAATCCTAGGTACAATAAAAGACATTTTTACATTGGCTAATGAAAATGTAATCAATGTATTTAGCAGCTGTTACATTTATTACAAGATTTATGTCTGGAAATCTAAATCTACCCAAGAATTATAATTATGTAAATAGAGAGCTGTATTTTTATATACCTGTTCAGCGACGGGGAAACAATATCGGTATCTGACAATGACAATGAATGATTTTTTGTTAAAAATTGTTAAAAATAGTAAACAGGCTATGATCTTTCCATCTTAAATATTTTGACAGTTCTGTTATTTCCTTTTTATTTTAAATGAGATGCCACTTCCATTATTCCTGATAGCGATGGAACATGAAATGTTGCTTATTTGGAATATATACCTTTACACAACGCTCATGATGTCAGAGACAGTTTCAGTCGGGTATAATTTAAAATAAAGAATTTTAAAATGAACCGTATTAAATTGTACCTGTACCTAACATTTATGGCATCACTGGCCGAGTTGGCATCGGGTATATTTTCAAATGTAGAAACTGAAAATTAACCCTATTAAATTGTATACTTTTAAATGCGGGTTTCAAGGAATTTTAAAATATTAACCCGATCTCAACGAACTTAGAAACTTCTGTCACTCGATATTTTAATCGTTACATCCTCTTCGCTTTTTGGCCGGCACAACAATTATTTACATTTCTTCATTCCTTACCGCGTGCGAACCAGTACAGTTTAAAGAAATTTTAAAAAACCTACTTTAAAAATGAAGATGTTAATGATTTTCTCATGGATCCCATCTTCAGATCTTGACTAAATTTATTTAGAACTATTCATTTCTAACAAAAAGAGAATCATAGAAATCGGGCAAAGTGGTAAAGAATTATCGCTAAACATACATAAAAAAATATTTCAACGAATTGAGAATATCGTCCCATTTTGAAGTATGTTAAAAAAAATTGTTAATAAAGTGCAAAGTAGGGTGACAACATATATTATGAACAATATAAAATGATAGATAAAGCCAGTTTAGAAAGTATTATAAAAAAAATATTATAAAAAAAATATCGAGAATCTCGATTTTGAATCGGAAGAAGAGTATTCTATGCAATTTAGAATGAAAACTGATCAAAATGAAACAAATGAACGACATGATAATGTTATTGACGACTTTCTTCAAACATTTTCTAGTTTTCCGAAAACTAACTGGATGGTTCGAAAATAATTTCCGCCTTTAAAGCGCCTTTTGTTCCGAAAAAGATACACGCCTGTCAACATTCATCGTTCAATAAAAAAAAGTATTAGATACAAAACGCTTCGTATTGTAAGGCCAAAATATATTTATAAATCAAAAGAGTCATATAAACAAAAAAATCATTATAAGTGAGATAACTACCAAATTAATGATTTACAAGTTTATTCTTATTATCTATAAATTAGGTTTGCAATGTCCTGATGTGGAATGTTATCATCGAATAAAAACTTAAAATCTTTGTATTAAATTGATCGAAAACAATCCATAAATTAGTTTAGACTATATAGAATGTTTCTAATAAGCAGCGACTAACTTTTATAATGAAACCGAAAGACCCTTTTAAAAGGGTTCAAAATTAAAATAAAATATGTACCAAGTACCAAGCAAATGTAGTAGTATTTTTTAATTTTGAATCTTGAGAGATGCAGACATCTTTGGATAATTTATTTTGAAAATGGTAACATGAAAGGTTTTCTGTCTAATTGTAAGTAACGACTCACAGTCTTGGCTAACAAAATGTAAAAAAATATCGAACATAATATTCCACTACTCAAATTAAATTTACTTGTACCAAATGATACTAAATCAAATAAGATGTCAAATCACAAGCAAAATCTCGTGACTGCAGCACTAATGATTTCTGAAAATTAACTAATTCATTTTTCATGCCATATTTTTCTTTCAGAAACATATTTATCTTACTTGAATTTTTTTCATCGTTTTTTATATAGAATCGTCTCTAAAAATGGAAGAATGAAACATGGTGTGAACTATTTGTTCGATCAATAAAAAACTTGCACCGGTCCTGTTCAAGCCAGCACCGTTATACGCATGAGCTCCGACACACTATTTTCTTCTTGTGGTTTCATTTTTGATATATGGAATCGGCTTTCTATATTATTTCTATGGTTGACAGAACCCTAATCGATGGTAAAATGCGTCTACCACATTTCTCCATGATTGTTTTATTTATTTAAGACCTTCCAGACTACATAAAATCATAAGTGTTACATATGGTTGAGCTCGTATTGAATAGGAGATTCCAATAATGACTGAATATACAGGGTGATGAATTTGAAAAATCAAAGTGACTAATAATATAAGAGAAACGACAAATCTGGCAACATTGTAAATATCAAATCTGGAATCTCCGTATCTCAACATCGGTGTACTCCAAATTTTGTACAATTAGGATTAGCAATTTACGAGATAATTGGCCGTTTCCAGATTTTTCGGCCACTCCGTATATATTTAATTATTTAAATGGTGTAAACGCATATTTGTTTGAGTATTTCCATGTTTAAATAGACAAATTATATGATGCGGCGTTAATTTACTGTAATAAAAAAATAAATAAAATAAATTTCATTTTATTTCGAATATAACCTAAATTTGCTGTCCCTCCACCTAGTTTTATTTATTAGTTCTACAGCTGATTGAAAAGGGGAGCTTCATGTTTTGTTTAGGCATGGTATGACTATTGTTTATATTATTATAGTTAATTTAACACAATAATAATAAAACTATTGTTAATTAAATAATTTGTATCCAATCCTTTTTAACTACCTATAATTTGTTTCAGATTAATACATTTAAAGGAATTATCGGAAATGTTTTATAAAATATTGTTTATTTATTTGTTCGTTTAAGAATCAATATGTTTCTGTTTTGTGTATTTTAAATAAACATGTATATTTTTAAATTTATTTTTTGTGTTTTAATAATATTTTAAAAACGTTTATACAATCTTTCATAATATTTATGAAAAAATACTAGAATACATTTCTGGAATATTACTATGTAATATTTTGAACAATTTCATATTCTTATTTCAGAAATATAACTGTAAAATATTATATTTACAGGACAGTTTTACGTTTCAGGCACATCTCATAAATGTTTCTGGGACGTTTCGTAATATTTATACAATATTACAAATATTTCATTATAACATTTTTGAAATATTTCCCAAATGTTTTTGAGCTGTATGGGTAGGCTCTCTGGAGTCTCAAAAACAGTATTCAGATATATGCAACCAAAGTAACTAAGACCAAGGTTAGAAAAGTATACGTAGTGTCAAACTCTAGATAACAAAAATTTTTCTGGAGCTTTGAAGAATAGGCTCAGCTCATGAAGAAGAAGAAAACAGGTGAAGGAACGTGGACAAAGGATATCCCCTTCAAGATGGCAAAAAAAGCTCAAAATAAGGTAGGATCAAGTGAAAAAAGGGGAAAAAAGTTGCACCTTTCCAAAGATATGCTCTATTTTAATAATGGGTAATTAGTTATTATTAACTATCCACTACAACAAAGCATTTAAGCTTTCCTTTACACATAGAGTGGGTAAACTTTAAAACTTTTCTCCTCCAATTTTTAATTTATTTTGTTATAAAACTATTAATTTAATAACTGCAACAATACTTACCTACTGCATATTTTAGAGCCTCCTCATTTCTTTCTATTACTTCATATCCACTAATATGTAGAATACTTTGACTCGTGTTGTACCTACATTCTTTTTGTTCAGCTTCATAAGGATAATCTTCCTCACTGTTTATTCCATAATCTTTTACATATTTAAAAGCATACCTCATAATTCCTCCTTGAACGCAATTACCATTACCATAATCATCTGAACAATCCAAAAGATTTTGTTCACTAAGTGAGACTAATTTATTGTATTTTAAAGCAAACTGTCCTTCAAGAGCTCCTGTCTGAAATTTAAAAATAGATTATCTTCAGGAAAAACTGACGATAACTAGTCCAGGAGTTTTAAAGTTATTTGAAAAATAGAATATTTGTTTTAATGACCAACTAGAGAACACGTTATATCCTTCAAAGCAGAGGACAATCTACGGTTTTGCATGTAGTCTCCCTGCTCCCTTATGAATGAACTCATAAAAAGCTTGTACGGGGAGGAACGGCTATTATCAATATTATTTGCTGTTGCTCTATGATTACTGATGATTAGTAGTGCTATTTGACTTGTAGGTAAAGAAAACCCGAAAAACGCAACTCATCAACAGAAATTAAATGACTGCTAATACGGTACTCATTAAATTCTCCAATCAATCATGCAAATTAATTAAAAATTCACATGGTTTGCTGCGGAACTCGCAGGCTGCTTATTATTATCGGGTGCGTTCATAAATCGAGAGCCTCTAATTTTCAATTTCCCGTCTGGACAAAATTCGTCGGCGGTTCTGTTTCGGTCTAATAAATATGAATGGTACAGTTCATCAAATTTCTAGAGGCTTTCGACGGCTAGACAGAGAAAGCACTACTGACAGGCATCCCGACGGATTTACGCAATGAAAGTACACTCTGCGCATCAAGTATTTCACTATTTCATTCAGACGTAAATGTCAGATGTAAATTTCGCTAAAACATTTCTTTTATTTTCGTTTGTGTTTTTTGCTCATTACAGTTTAATAGAACCTAAGTATGGAGTTTAATAGCAAATTAAGAGGCCGCGTGATTAACAGTCAATCTCGCGAAATAATAGCCAATGTTATAGAGTTTATGAGAAGAGAAGGAAACGTTTTAGCCACTAATTTCGGCGAATTTTAAAAAATCATTAACAAGAGATTAAGAGCTTAAATTTGGGGATTATATTAGGAATACTGCTGTTGAGAAATGCATTTATTTTCATTATGATATTTCAAAATTTAAAGCCCTTTGATTTTTTTTCTCGGAAACTGGAAGGAATTAAAACTTTAAAAAATATGCATATTCTAGATATTATTGCCTAATTTATTTTGTCCAAATTTAAATTTTCTAAAAAAATTACTTTTTGAGATATCCTTGTCCGAAAATTATAAGGGGGTGCTGTAATCACCTTAACCATTGTGTTAGAATTTTAGACAATATAGAAAACTTTAAAAAAATTCAAATTTATGCTGTTTCAGTTTCGGGCAGGCAATGCCTCTTACTCTGTTGATGAACTTTTAGCATATTAATTTTATAACTTAAAATATATTTTACCTAATGTTAATTTTAACTGTCTTTTGTGTTAGTTTTCTGTATATTATATATTATCTATTATTTTAGCTCTAGAATTTTAAACTTCTATGAATTGGACAGTGTGAATGGTGTTTTGTTTTTCTGTTTTTTCTATGGACGTAGTATGTATGAGCTGACTAGTCTGATAAGTTTTTTTTTAAACATTGTAAAAATACTTTATTGACGAATAAATTATATTCTATTCTATTTAATACCCAATTTCCTGTTTTTCTTTATGAATATGATATTCTGGTATTATTTAATGTCACTGGTAGGTATTTTAATGATCTTTTATTAGTGAAGTTAACCTGAACTGTTTTAGTTTCATTAAGCTTAATGCGCCATTTTTGTCCACTCATAGATTTTTCCGTTACATGTTGAAGTTTTCTGGTCGATTCTTCTATGGTTTTATCGCAAGTATGGCCGTGTCGTCGGCAAATGTGGCTACTTTCACATTTTGCGTTTGTGGTATGTCGGAGGTAAACAACAGGCACAGAAGTGGCCCCAGAACACTTCCTTGGGTACCCCTGTCAAGTAAGATTTTAAGATATCACAATATTGCCTAGGTAGAAGTTTATTTAATTTATATTCAAGGCCCTCTAACACACTTTATCGAAAGCCTGAGCTACATCTAGAAAGAATGAGGTGCAGATCTTTTCTTCCGGTGTTTTCTCTATGTCATTATTTATTTTGTGGACTTGGTCAATAGTGGAATGCTTGTTCCTAAATCCAAATTGGTGGTCAGGTATTACATTTTTACTGTCTTTTTACAGGTATTTTATTTTTGTCGGTTGGCCAATAGGTTGGTTTTCCTTTTGAGTGGTAGTCACAACCAATTTCACTTGCAGCTGCATGCAATTCCCTACCTTTGGTAGTTGTTAATCTCGAGCCCCCGTTAATATTTTTAGCATTAAAATCACCTCCTAAGATAAAATTTTCTCCCATTTGTCGTAAGAGTTCTCTGTAATTTTCTTTTTTCAAATTATGTTATGGTGGAATATATACTGCTCCGACTGCGAAACTGTATTTGTTCGTTTTCATGTTAATTGCTGTTACCTGGATTTCTTCTGTTCCTATTTTGTTGTCTTCATAATAATTAATATTTTCTTTTATTATTTCGGCGTTTTCACCTCTAGCAATATCCGAGGGATGTATAGTACTATAGATTTTGTATCTTTTAAATTGTATATAACTTTGTTGTGTTAAATACGTTTCTGATATTATACAGATATCTACATTTTATTCTATTAGGAACACTTGTAGCTCTTCTCGATGGTTAAGGAGTCCATTGGTATTCCATGTTGCAATTATTAAGTCTTTACGCTCCATTAAGGATTTCTAGACGTTTGGAGAAAGGTGACCTCTAATCTGGTAATTCTGTCTAGAATTGTATTAGGCATAGTCATTATTTGGTTCGTTGAAGATTCGTTTTCAGTTTGATTAGATCTGTTATTACTAGCCACATTTGTGTATGTCAAATTTGCCATTCTTTGTGCATTATTAATGATAGGTCGTCTAGTTTGGGTATTATTGCTTACCTGGTCTCTTCTGTATTGTATCTCCTTTGTCACTTCGCATCCTCTATAGCTTTCTGGATGTGCTTAATTGCAATTTGTGCATTTTAGTGGTATACTTGCCGGCTTATCACACTCTCCTGTAAGATGGCTTTTGGCACATTTAACATACACTGGTATTACAAAAATGTTTAGTATGTCCATATCTTTGGCACTGTTTACATTGTGGTATCAATTTTGGGATTCTCACTGGCTCAATTTGGATTATTAGGTTTTGTAATGTCTTAATTTCATAAATCCTTTTAATGTCGTTATCGTTTTCTAATGTTGACATGAATAGCGGCAATGGCTTTTTTTATAGCAGTTCTTATAACTTGATTTCCTCTTTCTTCCCCTTTAGTTTTTCTCCTTTGGATATTAACTACATCCAAGATTTTAAATCCACTGTGTTTTACTTCTTCAGCTATATCTTCTGGCTTGAAGGTAGGGTGTATGTTTCTAGCCATCACTTTTATTGGTCTGATTTGTTTCATCTCACATGAATGTCACTGAAAGCCTTGGTTTTGGAGATCTGTTGTCATTGTTCTATATTCTTGTTCATATTTTATGTTTAATTTGATTTGATCGTTATTTAATATGGTAGCTACAAAATTGTGTTGCTTACTTATTAGTTTTTGTCTTAACTCTTCAATATTTTTAACCTGAGTTACTATTATTGGTGGTGGTAATTTTTATATTGATTGTTCTTTTTGTACAATACTTTGTTTAGCGTTTTCATTTGGGTGATTTAATTTTGCTTCTTTTTGTACGCTGTATTGTTCTTTGATTGTATTTTGAGGTGACACTTCAGCAGATTCTCGCATTTTTCGTTTTTGCTATTTCTTTTGCTTCTTTGTACTATCCAAGCTGTTTCCTTATTAACTATTTCTTCTTGTACAGATTACAGATTTATCTGACATAGTCCAGTTAGCTATTTTTATCCTTTATCACTGGAAAAGATATTTTTGCCGAGATACAAAGTACAAAGCAATATGGTTTGCAGTGGGGTAAATTAGTTGGAGTGTGCACGGATGGTACGCCTTCAATGGTCGGTTCACTAAAAGGTTTTATAGAAATTCTGAAGGAAAGAACAACTGCTATGAATGTGCAAGAATGTGATTTAATAATTCTGAATTGCATTATTTACCTACAAAACTTGTGTCCATTCGATTAAAGAATGTTATAATAAATACTATCAATTTCACTAGATCCCGCAGTCTTAACCATCGCTAGTTTAAAGTATTTTTGGATGAACTTTCTTCAAAATACGATGATGTGATTATGGAAATGAAAGAGAAAACATTGCCGCAAATTTGTTGTCCAACTTGGCTTTGTAACTTGGCATTTCTAGTAGATATCACAAGGGACACTTAAACGACCTGATCTTGAAGCTTCTAAAACAAGGGCAATTGGTAAATCAGCTGTTCAGTCATCTTATAGCTTTTCAAAACAAAATTCGCTTGTGGGAAATACAAATGAGAAGTAAAAATTGTTTGTATTATTCATTCAGTCACGAAAACATTGAATACGGTCGTTATGCTTAAGAATTGAAACTACTGTTCGAGCAATTTACTGATCGATTTTCCGATTTCAAGGATATGAATAGCACTTTCAATATTTTTGCAAATCCTTATAAGTGGAGTTGATCGAGCTTCAAGAAGACTCATATTTGAAGTCTAAATTTGATGATGTGAAATTAAGCGACATACCTTTCCAAAGAAAAGTATCCACGAAAAATAATTTGCACAGTTAGAAGCACGTATAAATTTGAGCAGCTTTTTTCAATCATGAAAATTAATAAAAATAAGCATCGTACTCGGCTTACAGATGTTAATTTACAAAACGCTTTGCGCCTATGTACTAGTGATATTGATCATCTTGTGTCTCAACTTCAAACTCAAGCGTTTCATTAATTTTCATTTGATTTTGCTATCTTTTTTTATTAACTTGCTTTTTATGTTTGATTGAGCATACTCATTATGCTATTATAATTAATAAATTAAAAAAATGTGTGAATATTTGTCTCTTTATTCACTACTACCTACTTATGTCTTGCCTACGACCCGCGACCCAATTAAGTCCCGAAATTGCGCCCTCAGCTAAGCCAAGGTTGCCTATACCATCTCTAAATGAACCAAACCCAAAATATTTTTATTTGAGAAGAATTATTGGTTACTCACTGTACTAAACGCCCAACATGACAAACAACCGTCTTGATTTTTAACTTCAGACACAACATTTTTCTCTCTCCAATCTATTGAATCAGGTATGTCAGCACCCACTGGAATTTTAAAAGATGTCTTTGGTAAATCCAATGAAATTTTTTTTCTTAAATTTAATAGTTTTACGAATTCTTCGTGAGTTAAATCTGAAAATTGATTTAGTCCCATATAATAAGAAACCTCTCCCTTATTGTATCTATCATTGTGCTTTTGGATTTCGCGAATTTTTTCTTGGAATATTTTAAATCGTCTATTTTCTTCTTGTTCATTTGTATATTTTTTTTGGAAATTCACCTACGAAATATTTATTTTGTGTTAAAGATTCACTTTTAATTAGATCTCATACCTTATATTCCTTCCATAATTTTCCAGTTTCTAACGAATAAACTGCAGTAATAGCAATTATTAGCAGTACAAAAGCTTTCATCCTAAAAGTAGAATATACTAATTAATAATTAAGAGTGATGTGCCGAGAGATGAAATTTAGTATAAACCACACCATAACAACAATAGTAGTATTTTCAAGAAAAATTGAATTTAATCTCAAAACCATTAAATTAGACGTGATAGAAATAGAATAAAAAAAAAGGTCAAACATCTAGACCTAACCCTGGACAACAAACTTATTTGGAATATATCTGAGGAAGAAGATCAGAAGGTGTTCATGCTGGGAAAATATGGGGATGTAACCCTGACCGGGAGGTAACGACAGAAATTTTCGGGTCATTTTCGCAAGTTTAATTTTTTTTATATGAGTTATGCAAGTAATATGTAACTCTAATATGAACGTCTTCCGACGCACCCGTACGACAGGGGGTTGCAGGAGGGTTGCAATTACAGTAAAAAAAATTATAAAAAAAAAATCATTTTCGCATGCATGAAACTTTTTGTACACGTTAATTTAAAGAAATAAAATTTAGAAAATATCGTCTTCCACCTGAATTTCACGACAAAATACGTCTTCTACCCACCTAAATAAGCAAAAAAAAATAAAAAAAAAAATTATATTCGCAAAGCTGAAATTAAGTGTGATGATTATTTTTATAATAAGAAAGCTAAAAATAATAGTCTTCCATCGATACAATACAACAAAGGTCGTCTTCCAAGCTGATAAAGGGGCGCGTCACATACGGCACGTACTAGTTATACATTCCAAAACGGAACTTTTATTTAAAAAAATTTATTAAGCAAAAATACACTTAAATAGATATTTAAGACAACTCTGAACTAATGCCTATACTAAAGCTACCTCAAATAACAATAATAAGAATAAGGTTTTACTTCTATTTATAAACTAAAAATGATTATTTAGCAAAGATAATTTAATTATGACATAAAAGAGTCAATTATGATCACAATATATAAGTCCTCCCTGCTTAAGTTTTAAAAAATATGGAGTTATTTTTCAAAACATCTTCTGAGGGATTTTCTAATTCAATTTCTTCGTTTTTTTCTTCAATATCTTCTTAAAAGTTGTCTTCTATATTTAATTAGTATTAAAATAATTATACAAATAAAAATTGCAAAAATTGTTCCAAAAGTCCTTGAATAATTAAAATTATTTTGAATTTCTTTAATTGCCCTTAATTGTTTAGAAATTTGATTAATTTCATATAAATCATTAAAATCTAATTTAGTATAGGTATAAGAAAATTGATAAGATTTTGAAGTTTTGAAATTTTCTTCATGGTAGAATGAAAGGCTTTCCTGCTCAATTGAATGTTGTTGATATATCTTCTTTCGTTGGTCCAAATTTCACAAGATTTTGGTATTTTGATTAATTAACCCTAATTAAATTAACATTTAAAATATTACAATTTGTCAAAGTTTTTCTTTCAAGAAGTTGGTGAGTATTATTATCTCTGGGGATGAAATTCTGTAGACAATAATACATTTCTTCAAGGGATGGACATTCTTCTCGTTCAAACTGTATATCTTGATGTTTTTGTGCCAAATAGGGGAATAAAGGTGTATATATTTTTTGGTTTTCGATAATTGGGAATAAATGATAAAATTCAAAGGTATTGCTGTTAAAAATAGGAAAATGTATTGCAAAAATTAACTTAGATTCTGAAATTGATACTTGCGTTCCTAAGAACTGATAATACGTTAATAAATTATTATATATTTTATGTAAATATTTTATAATGTTTTTTGGAAATTTTGCAAAAGTTATGGCATTTTATAAATTATCTATAAATTAAATTGTCATTTGACAATCTAAATCAATTTGTGATATAATAGCCTGAAAACTAATATAACTTTCAAGTATATCGATTCTATTATAAATAGCTGCTTGAATTTTTTACATATCAATTTTAAATTTTTCTTGAATTATGCTTAAGATTATGATTGAATTATTATAATAATTAACAAGCCTTTTGTACTACGAAATTTGAAGATTTGTTTCACTGATAATATTTTTTTGATTTACTTGTAATATTTTGATAGTATTAATATCTTTCTTCGTCATCAGAATCAAGATTCCCAAATACCCATTTGTTAATTTTTCCAATTGAATTTATTATTAGAGCTCTTTTATGTCTTACATGAGAAATTAAATTATAAATCTTTTTCTGAAGTGTAATTATTAGATATTAAGTTCTTGTTAACATATTTTGCGATAAGCTATGATAAGATATAGGATTAGTTGCATTAAAATGAACTGTACTCTGTTTTATCAATTCAAAATGATTAACTAAATTATTAACTTATTTAACTACTTCTTCTAAATCTAAATAATGTAAAAATTTATGTTTGAAATATATAAGTTTAGCGTTTCCTAACTGAATAGGAAGCATAAAATTTTCAATCGGAGTGATCTGTATATCAAAAGATGTACTATGTATTTGGTATACATAAATGACTTGTAGAACTTGTACTTGGAACAGCGTCGTTATCAAAATGAATTTCATTTTCGTTGGTATCCTGTAACAATTTTTATAAATTATTTTTCGATCTTCTAAAAATACTTTTATGATAAGTTCTCTTATCCGTTTTTATTAAAATACCTTCAATGAAATTTACCTTTTTAAATTTTAGTAGTTTTTTACTGCTTGATTTTGTTTTGACAAAACATGAATTTTGATTGGAATAGTTATCTAGTTTAGATCTCTTTTTATTTAATTTGTTTATTAAATTTTCTTTTACTTCTTCGTTACGTTGTTTAATTTTGTTATACATCGGTTTACTAATTTGTTTATGATCTTGTACATAATTAGAAATTATTAAGTGATCGTCTAAATCAAAGGGATTTGGATTATCAATGTGTCCTTTAATTATTTCAAATGGCGTGAACTTTGTCACTGAATATTATTATAACAAAATACAGATTTTTTAATTAGTCGATCCGGTGTGAAATGTTTGTTTTCTTCTTGTAAACATCTATAATGTTCTAATAGACTTGAATGAAACCGTTCCACTGTGGAAATTGAATTATTATTTTTTTTGCAGTAGTGATCTATAGCTGGATATGGTATAGTTTACAAAAATCTTCTAAATCGAAATTTTTTAATTCTGTTCCACTGTCGGTAGTAATTTTTTGTGGTAGCCCGAGATGTGAAATGTGAAATAGAGTTTTTCTACGACTGATATCCCTGTTATACAATCTAGGGAATAAGCCTGACCATATCGCGAAAAAGAATCAATTATAGTCAAATATGATTTACTAGAAATGTAAAATATATCTAAATGTATGTGTTCAAAAGGTTTTGTTGCAGTGGGTGTCAAATCAAATTTTACTACTGGTGGATTTCGATCATATTTATTCTTTAAGCATGTTTGACCGTTATTAATTAAATTTTCAATATCATTAGCCATTCTAGCCAATAATATTTGGAACTAGTGCTAAGCTATTTCATTTCATTTGTACTACAAAAGTACAATATATTTGGTTTTTAAAAATTTGAAAGATCAGTCTATTTTGAAATTTATTAAAGAATTTTATGAATTCTTCATTGTGTTCTATTTTTAATATTTTTCTTCAAAGAGGTAGTTATTTTGCAAAAAATTTTAATTAATAATTTTTTTTTAATAATATCCTATATGGCCAAAGAATGATTTGATATTTGATGTATATTTTTTGTATTTACATGAAATTAAATTTAAAAGAAGATATATGAGTATGTGTTAAATTAAACTAGGTTTATCTCTGTCATTGTAGTACCTAATACTTTTTGAATTTTGTTCCTTTTCTCTTAAAATTTGAAAAACATTTAAATTTTATTCTCTTGTTATATTTATATGTATCCGGTGTTTTCATTTTAGTCTTAATTTTATTATTAGGTAATTTATTAAAAAAAAATGATAAGAAGATCTATAAAAATTCCAATAAAATACATATATTTTGTGCTTTTAAATTTACTTTCTTTGACTAGAGAAATTATAAATACTCGAACTTATCTCTAAATTATATTGTAAATAATTAATGTATTGCATACTTTTAAATCTACAACAGAATTTTATCGTATTTCATCTATTTACTAAAATTTCGATTTTGACGGTAAAATGTGCAGTTATAGTAATTGAATGAATAGTTTATAACATAAATATTAACTTCGTAATAGTTCTTTTAACATTTTACACCAATGATCATTTTTCGAAAACGTAAAGATACCTACTACGTTCTTGCTGTCAAGAACACCTTTATCAGCTTGGAAGACGACCTTCGTTGTGTTTTATTGGTGGAAGACTATTATTTTTATTTTTCTTACTATAAAAATAAGCATTACACTTGGTTTCACCTTTGCGACTATAATTTTTTTTTATTATTTTTTTACGACTGTTTATGTGGATGGAAGACGTACTTTGTTGTACAATTCAGGTGGAAGACGACATTTTCTAATATTTTTATATTCATATCAACGTGTACACCAAGTTTCATCCATGCGAAAATGATTTTTTTTTATAATTTTTTTACTTGAATTGCAACCCTCTCGCAACCCCCTGTCGTACAACTGGAATGGAAGACGATGATTTTACTGTTAGATGCTATTTAAATAACTCATATTCAAAAAATAAAGCTTGCGAAAATGGTTTATTGAAATCTGTCATTACCTCCCGGACCATATCTTTCTACGATACAACAATAATGAGATCAATTATTTTATTACTTATGGGGTTGTAGCTTGAGGTAACAACTAGTCGAGCTACTACCAGATGTAATATCTCAAGACTAGTGTCTTTGCATTACCGACGCAATGAGAACCTGTCCAGGATAGCTATTCACTAAGTCATGGGAGCGCTCCCATGGGAGTGCTCCCATATATTTTGCTCTCTTACTCTTAGGTGGGTATATCGTGCTTACTCACTTTTAGCCCAGGTACATGCGTAGTAAGGTCAGATTTTATACTATGGGAGGGAGAATTGCGGGCTTGCCAGATTAGGTCCGTATTTATCACAAAGCAAATTTGAATTACTAAGGGCTGATTCCACCGTTGAGTTAAACGGAGATTAAAATGACATTGTTAATGTAAAAATGTCATTTTAA